TTGAATCATGACACAAAACTAGAACCTCGAGCCTATCTAATTATAGTATTTCAATTGGTTATTCAAAATGATTTATCCATTGTCATTTATTTTCCTTATCTTAAAAATCTGTCAAAATTCTAGTAAGTAAAATGTGATAACTTTCTTACTATAGGTTCTAGTAAGTACATAATTATTGTTTCAAGAATCACTGCACAAATATTAAGAAAAGGAATCTTTTGCTAAAGAGGTTTAAAATAAGAATTTGAAAATGAAAGTAATTTTAAACTGCATAATACAAAAATGAAAGCACGCTTCAACATATCACATCTAAATTTGCAAAGTAAACATGACACACCGAGAATAGGAGTAAGCTGGAATTATTACCCTGTAAAGAAACAAACTAAAGGTTTTCTCAGTTTGTCCAATTTTCTTTTTAATTTCTTCAGAGAGGGTCCACCTCACCTCTTTTGGGCTGGGAGGAAATCCTGGACAGCAGCTGCATGATTTGATGGGGAAGACAAGGAGGCAGGCATATTTGTTTCATAAAAGACCTCCTTAAAAACCTCACATTCATCCTCCACTTTCTATTTAGAGACTTCAGACCTCACTCATCGTGATCATTCTGGGAGGACTGGGTCCTATCTCCTTTGGGGACACCTCTTCAGCATATTCTGTGCTGAAGCTTCCTGGGCTCCATTTGCCAACATGTTCAAACCCAGTTCCTCTCAGAATGTTTGTTGAAATCCTTTGTTCACTGATTATTCCCCAACCCTTTGTTTTTCTGTTATGTATTTTCTTTTTTTACTATTTAACTGTAGTTTTAATAGGAGAAAAACATATTAATAAATCAGTCTGTAATCTTTTATAAAACTTGACAACTTGCTTTTTTTAACAATATATTATAAACATATCCCATGTTGTTAAATGTCTATACTCTTTAAGCATTGGCATAATTTTAGTTTTGAAGTTGAAATTATATTTTTCATTTACTCCTCAATTATTTCAGGTCTAATGAAAGTCAAAGTAAAGATCACAGTATCTTTTTTTTTCAATATTGGGGTCACTAATTATTTTTTTTGTTTTGTTTTATATTTTATTAGTAACTAGTTTAAAGATTATTAGTCACCTATTTTTCTTTTGTTCCCTGTGCTTTTGGTGTCATATCCAAGAAAGAATTGCCAAATCCAACGTCATGAAGCTTTCTCCCTATTTTTCTTCTGAGAGAGTTATCATTTACCGCTTACATTTAGGTCTTTATTTCATTTTGAGTTAATTTTCTAGATGGTGTGAAGTAAGGATCCAACTTCATTGTTTTGCATATGGACATTCATTTGTTGAAAAGACTGCCCTTTCCCCAATGAATGCTCTAGGCACCTCTGCTAAAAGTCATTTGGCCATATATGAGAGTTTGCTGGGGCTCTCTATTGTATTCCATTCAACAATATGTATGGCTATGCCAGTACAATACTGTTTTGATTTTGTAGCTTTGTAATATGTTTTGAGGTAAACACATGTGAAGCCTCCGGCTTTGTTCTTCTTATTCAAGATTGTTATAACTATTCGAGGTCCCTTAAGATTCCATATTAGTTTTAAGACTCATATTTTCAATTTTGTTTTTGATAACAGATACTCTAATGGGTATGGTCAATAATTTTAATTCCAATCATCTATTTCCTTAATGTAATTTTTCTTTTTTTATTCTATCAGTACATTAAAATCTTCCAGCATTGTGGGTTTGTCTCTGACTTGTCTAGTTCTGCTTCACATATTCTGAAGCTGTTTTATTATACGTATATAGTTTTTATATTCTGTTGAAATAATACTTTTTTCTTGAAAGTGTGCTTTGTCTAATGTTAATATATTGTATCAGGCTACTTCTATTTTCTCCTTTAGTTTATTCATGATCAGTATTTTTTTTTATCTTTTGCTATTTTCCATAGATCTCTTATAATCAGCAGTTATTTCATTTTTCAAAAACAATCTTTGTTTTTAGTAATCTGTGTACATCTTGTCATGCTGCTGTATTTGCTTTTAAATATATCATCCTACAGTGTGTGAAACAGTAAAATGAATGTCAATTGTGTCTATTTTTCCTAACAAGTTTTTAAAACATCATTAGAAGGTTCAAAATTATTCTTGAATAAGTATACATCTATTTTATAAATGGAATGTAAATGCTACAGTCATTTGATATCCACTAACATCCATCCAATTGAAAAGCACATGAATAGCCCTTTTAGTTAGGAACTTGGTATTATTCCTTTTCTCCTTGAATTCATATTTTTACCTCACTTCCCCCACATAAGTTTATTCCTGGCATATTTTAGTGTTTGAAAATACAGTTAATACATTTCCCTGCAACAAAAGTATATTTTAAAACTACTAAGAATATTTAGTCTTGTGTTGTCATTGAATTACTAGAACACTACTGATCAAATGATAAACATATTACAATTATGATCACTTTATTATTTGTGTGTATGTGTGTTTTTATCCTCACCTGGGTACATTTTTGCATTTATCTTCAGATAGAGCAGGAGGAAGAGAGGGAGGGAGAGAGAGAGAGAGATAAACATCATGTGAGAGAGACACACAGACTGGTTGCCACCCACATGACCAGGGAAAAACTACAACCCAGGTACGTGCCCCTAGTGGGAACCGAACCCAGGACTCTCTGGTCCGCGGGCTGACGCTCTAACTGCTGAGCCAAACCAGCCAGGGCAAATTATGATCACTTTAAAACAACAAAAGCCAGCTTTTGTTGAAAATGCATGTCATAAAGAAATGGATAGGGCATTCCATCTTCCAGCCACCCCCATTTAAGTCATGTATCCAGGATGAATACTACTGCTAGAAAGAAAAAGGGTTCAGGTTAATTCTACTCTTTTATTTTGTATTCTTTCATTCCAAATATTTGGGAGTAGATGATTTTCTGGCTATACCAATAATTATTCTTTTGACCTACTAAACTGTGTACCAAAAATCACATAGAAGTATGTCATCCAAAATGAATTTTAATGATCAGCTGACAACTCAATTTAGTTCTTCTGCAATATTTTTTAAAGCCATTGGAAATTACCATTCTTGCAAAATAATTAACTAATAGTCATTAGGATCATTCACTTTCTAAAGATGATTGAGGTCAGATTAAAAGTATTGCTGTATTATGAAGTGGACGATTAGAGTTAACCAAAGGGGACGGTATCTGGTTCAGGCACACTATGAGGCAGGTCAATTTTAGCAAAGAAAACACCCAAGTTGACAACCTGAGAATTAATGACCTTAAACTATCTTTTGCTTGATCCTCTGGGAAGCCTTCATGTGACTTCCACAATTAAGGGTTGGGAACATGTGTTGCCTAGTTTGAAGACTGCTGCTTCAAGATACACAGATCTGGATACACAGTGTTAACAGAAATCATGAAGTAGTTCACAACTGTGTGTGTGAGAGAGAGAGGGAGTGGGGGGAGGTATGGGAGAAAAGAGGGAACACTGACTAGGTATGCCAGATACCAGGTTTTTCATTATTGGTAGTACTTTTTAATCTATGTTTTATCTCTGCCACTAAAACTATTCCCTTCCCCTAAAGCTCTTAACCTGGACATGTGATATGCGCTGGAGAAGAGAAAAAAAAAATGATTTAAAAACAATACTGATGAGATGACACTGAAGTTGATAATTAATATGAAAAAAAATTGCTATTTCAACTTAAAAGTTTTGACATCTTTTCTTAAAAATGTGTTTTTATTGATATTTTAGAGAGAGAAGGAAGAGAAACATTATTGGCTGCCTCCTGCGCGTGCGCGCACATCCCCAGGGTGAGGGGGCGGCATCAAGCCAGCAACCAGGTCGGGATCTCAGTTCATGGGCCACGCTCAATCCACACTGGCCAGCCTAAAAACCTAATTTAAAATAAACCCCAGAGTTGAATCCATGCTTCGACGAGCGCAGTTGGGCTGATGAATTAAAGGTGATGCAAAAACATCACCAACAGCATACACACTAACCACATTTAAGCCCTCTGTTGACAAAATACCGTGAAAGGGCGTGGCGAGGAGCGTCATTGTTGCCAGTTTCCGGTTAATAAGAATAAATTGCCTGTAATTGCTGTTTTCTCGTTTATTCCTTTAACCAGAACTAGCCCGAGTTTGAGGGGATCCATCAAGCTCTACTTCTAAAAATGGTAACACATTCAACTCTCCTAACTCCACAGCTCAGGAATGTCATCTAGGAAAAACCAAGGGTGGTAGCAATCCCACGGCAGATGGTACAATCCCCAAATCCCAGAGTTCTGTCCTACATTCAATAAATTTCACATTTTAAAAAAGAGCAGTGCGTGGACTACGCGCCGGGCTTGCTCCAAATGACCGCCCAAGGGTTCGCATCAACGTCCAGGACACCGGGTGCGGAGGGGGGCGGTAAACAGCTCCATCGTGCGCCCCTCCCCCACACCCCCAGCGCGCACCGTCACAGGTGGCCCAGTTCTTCCCAGCCGCAGCGAGGCGACAGCGCTCGAGCTCTTAATGGCGATACCAAGCGGAGCAGACACGCAGCACACGTGCTCGCGGCCCCCAACTGGACGCCAGAAGGAAAGGAAGCGCTAGACTACGGCTGTGGAAGGCACCAGACGACCCGTCGCAGCCGCGAATAACGCTCTTACCTCTCTTCAGCTCCGCCTCCGCTTCGCGTCGCCGCGGCCCGCCCCGCCGCGGAGACTCACGGGACACGTAGTACGCCACGCCCACCTGCCCTCGCCCATCCCCCTTCCAAGCACCGACTCTATCCCAGCTCCTTCGGGCCCGACTTCCGGTTTGCTGGCACCGCCCTGGCGCCGAGCCCGCGGGCCGCGGCAGCCCCTTTTCCGGCTGTGTGCTGTTCGACCCCAGCCCCCCTCGACAGGGGCCCCCCTCCGCGGTGCGCAACGCGACCACCGGCCTGTGCGGCGCGGAGGAGGCTGGTGCCGGCAGGCCGGGGCCTCGCGCGCGTGTTGCTGGGTAACGGGCCTGCTCCCGGCGGCTGCTCGGCCCCCCCGGCCTGCCTCTGCCTGCCACTCCTTCCAGAGCCGCCGGGGCCCCAGCCAGCTGCTAGGCCGTCTGTGCTGGCGCAGCCGAGGCCAGAGAAATGGGAATCCCTGCGCGGTGTACCCGGAGCGGCTGCCTTCGCGGGGGAAGCGGCGGTGTCTTCGAGGAAACCGGAAGCCTCTGGTGACCCCTGGCGACCCGGTTAGTTTTCGGTCCGTTTCCAAACACTGGGGAATCGAAACTCGGAGGCCCTACGTAGCCTGTCTTCGGGGTGAGTGACTCTCCTTGGCCAGGGTAGGGGCGTGGGCAGTGCCAGGAACCGCTGCCGCTCCTGTTGCTGTCCCGAAGAGACACGTTTTCTGGCTAGGGAGCGGCCCACCCTGGCACCCTCGCACCCTGGCTGTTCCAGGCCCATCTCGGACCTTCGCTTTACTTCTCCTTATTCCGTACTCTGACTTACGGGGGCACCTTCAGTTTTGTTTCATTCACTGACACTGCATTTATCTCTAAAACGGAGGAGGGACGCGTGGCTAGGACGGTACTGCCTGGGGCATCCGAGCAGTGGACCGAACCCTCCTGCACAGTACCGACGGCCAACAGTAGGTGTTCGTCGTTTCTGTTTGTTGTATGATCTTCGACCTTAACAATTGTTAAGTGACTGCTACAGGCAAGGTAGGCTAAGACCCCTCCACCCACCCTAGAAACGGGCAACTCAAATACTCAAAAGTGAGATAAGATACTCGGGAAAACTGCCATACAAATGAAAACATAAATAGCTCCAGGATGTGTTGTTGGAAATATGCTAAGATGACAAAAAAACAGTGACTTAAGAGGACTGAAATTGACCCTTGCCTCTTAAACGTAAAAGACGCGTTTTGTTGTTGTTGTTAATTGGAATGAGCAAGATCTCAAGGCATAATTTAAATTCCAGCTCTCTAAACATATCTAATTTCCCAACTGTTGTGATCAACTCACATCATTTGTAAATTAGGAATTTTGCATCCCTCACAGAAAAATTTTAATATGTTGCTGCTAAAATGGGGAGTTGTATACAAATGTAACATTTTAATATTAAAGAGACAGTAGTATAGTGTCATCGGAAATCCACTGGATTAACTCAGAACATTCACTCAGGATCTGAGTGCTGATTTTTCTACTTATTCACTTGACTCTCTGGGTAAGCGATTAAATCGCTTTCAAGTGGTATTAAGGTTTACTCTCCAAGGTACCAAAGCAACATTTCGAAGAGTTTTGCTGGCCCTGGAGTCAGTTGGATGATTTTCATTCCTGGCTCCCATACTCTCTCAAGTCTGCCTGTCTCAGTGGCTCCACCTGTGATATGAGGAATTTCATGCCCACCTTAGAGGTTTTAATATAGATTTAATGACTTGTTAAGAATAAATGAGAGCCCTGGTCAGTTTGGCTCAGCGATAGAGTTTCGTGCAGGGACCAGAGAGTTCCAATGAGTTCCCAATTCAATTCCAGCCAAGGGCAAATACCAAGGTTGTGGTTCGTCCTGGCTCTGGACCTGTGGGAGGCAGCCAGTCAGTGTGTCCCTCTCCCATCCATGTTTCTCTCTCTCTCCCTCCCACTCTATCTGAAGATAAATGGAAGAATATCCTTGGGGTGAGGATAAAAGAAAAGGCAGTGTAGAATAGAAAAAAGAGAGTAACAAATAGGCCTTGATTTCAAACCCTACCTCTGTCACACACTGCCAATGATTATAGGCAAATTTACCTCACCTCTTTGCACCTCAGTTTTTTTTATCTATGGTAATAATAATACCATTTTAACCTAGTTTGGTGTGTACCGTATATCTTTTACTAATTTTCTGGCAAAAATGTGAATTCCATTCTATCTCTAGGTTGTTATTCCATATTCAGATTAAAATTTTGCCTTCACAATTTAGGAAGGTGACATCACAGGATATATAGTTCAACCCTGTCATTTTCTTGGTGGGAAAACGTAAACCAGGGGAGGTAAACTAATAAGGTGTCAAATTGTATACTAGAATCTGGATTTCTCAGTCTTGGGTGGCCAGTGCTCTTTCTACCACTGAGCTCTGCCCTGTACAGGTTATTTTTTGGAAAATCAGAATCCATGCTATGTTGCCCCTCAGAACGTGGTATTAAGAGCATAAATTTGGCCCTGGTGGATAGTTGGTTGGAATATCCTCCCCATACACCAGGGTTGGAGGTTCAATCCCCAATCAGGGCATGTGCAGGAGTCAACCAATGAATACCTGGATAGGTGGAGCAACAAGTCAGTGTTTCTCTTCTCTCTCTAAATAATAAATAAATAAATAAATAAATAAGAGTTTTTTTGGAAGAGCATAAATTTGGAAGTTCCCAGAACACTTTGAATTTCCTGAGTGATAAGAGCTATGAGAGCATCTTTTCTCATAATACAGGGTGGGCAAAAGTAGGTCTACAGTTGTAATACAAATAAATTATACAATATTTAATAAATAAAACAAGAATAAACTGTTTTGCCTGGGTGGTATAGCTTAGTTGGTTGAGTGTTGTCCCATGCACCAAGCGGTTGCTGGTTCGATTCCTGGTCAGGACAGATGCTGGGGTTTGGGGCTCTATCCCTAGTAGAGGAGCATGCAGGAGGCAGCTGATCCATGTTCTTCTCTCATTGATGTTTCTGTCTCCCTCCCTCTCCTTTCCTCTCTCTCTAAAATCAATAAAAGCACATTAAAAATTAAAATAAATTTGCATGTTCATGACTGTAAACCTACTTTTTCCCCCCCTTGGATTTAATCTCATCCTCATTTCCTGAAATCCGATCAGCCATAAAGGTAAAATGGGTGTCTTATTTATAAAAAGCCCCTTTGCACCAGGACTGGGTGTATATTAATGAGATGACTTTTGGACAGCACCTAAGGATGATGGCTGGTTGCCCAGAGGAGAACCACCCATTGGAATGTTTAGTCCCACAGAACTCAGGGTAGTGGAGAAGGGCTGGAGATTGAATCAGTTTCCAGTGATATAATCAATTATGCCTATTACGTAATGAAGCCTTCATAAAAACGCAAAAAGGAGAGGGTTTGGAGAGTTTCCAGGTTGGTTAATCAGACCACTTCCATGTTCCACTATGCTGGCCCCAAACTCCAGGAGGATAGAAGCTCCTTTTTTGGGATCTTGACCTATATATCTTTTAATTTAGTTATTGATTCATATCCTTTAATTATTAGGATAAGCAATTTTCCTGCTGCCTTCCAGTGCATTCCACTTTGTGTTTATAGTATATAAAATAAGTATATATGGAGTAATGGTAGAAAAGTTGGAAAAATTTTTATGCAAACAGTTTCATATTTAGAGAGAAACCACCATATGCAACCTTATGGTGATTTACAAATAAAATAGGCAACAGATATAAATATATAAACCAGTTATCAATTTTCCTAAAAATGACCAATTATCATATTATATAAAATGTGACATTGTTATATCAATATACCTCCTTCCCTCTAAGGTACTTAACAACCTTCCATGGGATTCCTAATTTTTTAGTTCTTGATGAAGTTAAGTGTGTAAAAAATTCATTGTGGCCCTGGCCGGTTTGGCTCAGCGGTTGGAGCGTCGGCCTGCGGTACAGAGAGACCCGGGTTCAGTTCCCGCTAAGGGCACGTACCTCGGTTGCAGTTTGTCCCCGGCCCTGGTTGGTCGTGCGGGTGGCAGCCACTCGATGTGTCCCTTCACGTCGATGTTTCTCTCTCTCTCTCTTCCTCTCTCTCCCTCCCGCTCCATCTGAACAAAAAATGGAAAAATATCCTCGGGTGAGGATAAAAAAAAAAAAAAAAAAAATTCATTGGGGAGGAAAAAAACTAATAGGTTCTGAAATCCAAGTGTTTGTGCTACTTATTAATGATCTGGTTTTGGCTAAGCTTCATAACCTTTCCAGATCCCAGTTTCCTTATCTGTGAAATGGGTGTAATAAGATTTTTTACATTATAGGGTCATCATGAAAATTAAATGGGATAATACTTGTAAAACTCTTAGCACAATACTGAGTAATTCATTTGGCTGTGAATATATTTTACAAATGTTTTGTAAGTATTCTTTTTTTTTAATCATGTCCAGAATAAAGACCAAATTCTGTAGTCATCTCCCATCATCAAGAACCATCACAGTTTGTCTCCATTCTGTTTTTCCAATTGTATCTCTTGCCATGCCTTTTCTCATCGTTTCTCCCCACACTTTTTCTAGGCCTTTGAACGTGTTCCCCCTGCTGAAATTTAGCAAACAGTTAAGGTTTAAGTACAGTTAAGTATAATGAAAGTAACCACCTTCTTCACATTAGAGAATAGGGTTAAGAGTCATTTGATCTTGCCCTGGCTGGTATGGCTCAGTTGGATGAGTGTAGGTAGTCCCATGCACCAAAAGGTCATCAGTTCCATTCTAAGTCTGATTCCATGTCAGGAACATGCCTGGGTTGCCAGCTCAATCCCCAGTAGGGGGTGTACAGGAGGCAGCCATCGTCACATTGATGTTTCTTTCTCTCAAATCAATAAAAAAAAATTTTTTAATTATTTTTTAAAAATAGTTGACTCATTTGATCTTTTGTGGTACCTTTTTTGCTTCTTTGAAAATCACTCTTCCGCCCTGGCCAGTTTGGCTCAGTGGTTGAGCGTCGGCCTGTGGACCAGAGAGTCCCGGGTTTGGTTCCTGCTAGGGGCACGTACCACAAAGGAGGGGAAGGGAGGGGAGGGGAGGGGAGGGAGGGAGGGAGGAAGGAATCACTCTTCCTCTCTATCCCTCAATCCTCATAGCATTCTGTATTGTTTTAAATATTACTTACCTTAAAGTGCACAAACTGTGGGACATCTTTGACAGTGTAGAACAGTTTATGCTTATTTCTTGTTTCTCAGATATCTTCAGAAAAAAAATTATTCAAGTTGAATAAATCCTGCACATTTAGTTGGGCATTGAGATATTATAAATCAGATGTCTACGATGGGCACGAGTTTACCTCTGCTTAAACTAGACTGCTTCCTACACTTGTCTAGCTATCTAGTCTTATTTTACTTAGTCTGCTTTTAAGATATGTGCATATGTGAAAGAGTCTTATATGGAGATACATGTACATGCTTGCAGTTTGTGATAGGGGAATAACCCATACTCTCCTTTTGGAAAGGAAATAAGAGAATTTCAACTAGCAGTAACATGATTGGAATTATGTTTGTTATTCTGGAATAGCGCTGACCTCAGAGAGGAAAACTTACTCTTTTTCCATCATTAGGAGAAAGTACAACTTGTACCAGAAGCAGCAGGAGTTAATTATGGTTATGGGGATCTGTCCCTTTTGGGGGATATTGTAGGTAGCCTTGTCCTTTCTTGTTTTTGGACTTCATTGATAACCTGGGAAAGATTCCAGGTTAAGAGTAGGAGTTAATGAAGATTGATGGAATGGTACATTTCACCTACTCAGACTTGTAGTACACACATTTACTTTTTTGCCTGCCTTTTCCATAATACATTTTAGGAAACAAATTGCTGGACACTCCAAATTCTAACTTTAGTTGTAAGCAATAGGAAGGTTTTAGTTTTAAAATCATAAAACTAAAATACACAGTGATAGAAGACCAGACCCAGAACAACCACATAAACAAAACCTTTCCTCAGTATTTATATTCTGAAATAAAGCAAAAACAAACTTTATAGACATTGATTGATACAGGGAGGGAGATCAGAAGTTTTGGAGGAAAGCAGGCCTAGTGAAACAGATTCTGCACCTGTGTTTACATCTCAACTCTCCATTTACTATGTTACTATGGAAACTTAAATTCCTTCTACATCAGTTTCCTCACCTATAACACTTTTAGAAAAGTGACTAACACTAGTTAAGCAATCAAATGTTATCTTAGGCAAGGGCTGGTAAATGAAAACATTTTTCAGGAATCAATTGCTAATCTAAGGTAACACGCAGTTCCACTGATAGTCTTCATTTGAAATGCTTTATTTGGTGTTCTGTTTTAACAGATTTTGGGGGTTCTCTTATGGTCTGCAGTTTCTCTCTGTCTTTCTCAGGAGGTCTTAAAAGGTTTCAGCCACTATTTCTCCTTCTATAGTGTTTTTCAGGAACATAACTCTCAGATGGGAAAGTAATGCTGAACCTAAAAATAAAAGTAGATGTACAGAGCGAGTGTATTATTCACTAACTAATGAAGTAACTTCCTTCTCATGGGTTTTAGACTCAGAGTTTGATTTGAATCCTACTCTACCCACTCTTCATTCAATAATCAATATTGAGCATCTTCCACGCAATGAATTGGGGACACAATGATGAGCAAAAAACAGCTATAACCTCTGCCCTCACAGAGCTAATAGTTCTACTAGCTTTAATTTGGGCAAGCGTAAATTGCTTTACGCTTCAAATCCCAACCAAATGTAGATGATGCCTACTCAGTAGAATTGTATAGATGAATTGAAATAAGATAATGTTAAAAGAATGTAGTACATGGTACAGGGACATAGTGGACACTCAAATGTTAATTCCTTTGTCTTCTCTTTCGAATGTCATTAACAAATAGCAGTTACTGGAATGGAAAGGATATAGTAGAGGATGCATTAAAATGTCTGTAGTAGTATGGTAATGAATTATGCTAAAAGAGTTTTTGAAATTTGTAATTTGGGAAGCTATAATGCTTGCAACTTATATCTAAGAAAGGAAATGTTGATGAGGAAGAAATATATGGGTATAAAGAGTTTTTTATTCTGATTGAAAATGGTGTTTCACAACTTTTTATAAAACATACTAATAGCTGAGATTATGGTTTTATATGCTTTACAGATGTCAACTCATTTAATATTCTTAAAAACTCTATGAAGTAGTTGCTATTATTTTTTTTTTTTTTTTTACTTTATTGATTTTAGAGACAGAGGAAGGGAGAGGGAGAGCTAGAAACATCAATGAGACAGAACATCGATTTGATGCCTCCTACATGCCCCTGACTAAGGATCTGGCCCACAACCTGGGCATGTGCCCTCACCAAGAATTGAATCGGCGACCTCTTGGTGCATGGGTCAGTGCTCAACCACTGAGCCACACCAGCTGGGCTATTTCTTATACTTTATAAATAAGGAAACTGAGGCAGAGAGGTTAAGCAATTTGCCCAGAGTCACACAGACACTAAATAGTAGAGTTTGGATTCAAACCCTGGCAGTCTGGTTTCAAAGTCCATGCTCCTAACCATATACTATACTGCCTCTAAAAGAAACAAGAATTCTTAAACATTGCCTCAATATTCACATTATTCTAAATATACTTCTTTTTTTCTGCTCATTGAATAAATGTATTTTATTTTATATTTTATATTTTTATTCTTTTAAATAGCTATCATGGATACACTGGTAGAAGATGATATCTGCATTCTAAATCATGAAAAAGCCCATAAGAGAGATACAGTGATTCCAGTCTCAATATATTCAGATGAGTCTGTTGCTTCACATTTTGCCCTTGTCACTGCATATGAAGACATCAAAAAACGACTCAAGGATTCAGAGAAAGAGAACTCTTTGCTAAAGAAAAGAGTAAGATTTTTGGAAGAAAAGGTAATTATTTATTACCTTCATTATGTGTTATGACTTAAAGAATAATTCACAATATTTAATATTGTCCTGTCTTCGAAGGATAACTCACTGCTAACCTCAAAACCCTAGGCATTGTACCTATAGCAGTTTCACATATCACGTGCTTGGGGAATGTTTATAGAAGATTATTTAGCGATTTGGAGGGAATACATGCCAAATATTTTTCTTACCTCTTTTTTCAGATTGCTTCACCTTCATAACTATATATTTTTTATTCAGGATTTAAAAATCTGTGCAAAAGTTATAGCCAATAAAGGAAATTCAAAGGAGGAAGCTCCTGGAACACTGTTCTGATATGTTTAATAAAGTCTTCACTAGGACTTACATCTTTACCTCAACATTCTCTTTTGCTTTTGAACACACTTAACAAGAAAAATGCTTTTAACTGAATAAATTTCTTCTGAGGGGAAGGGAGAGAGAAACATCGATGTGAAAGACACGTCGATTGGTTACCACCTGTGGGGATCAAACCTGCAACCCAGTTATGTGCCCTTGACCGGGAATCAAACCTGAGATCCTTCGGTCCACAGGCTGATGCTCGAATTACTGAGCCAAACCAGCCAGGGCATAATCTGACATTCTTAAATGTTGTAGAATATACAAGTAAGGTTGTTGATTCAATTATAAATCATTAGGTCTACTTGGCTTTGTGTATTGGGAAATCTTCCTCACACATCCATTTATTTTTGAGTTTTAAAGTTTTAACTTAGTTTATGTCTTCAGATCATTATAATCACATTTTACAAACAGCAGCTTCAGCAAAAGGGGAAGGAAGTGGATTCCTTAGCAGCCAAGGAAATGAATCATCTTCTTATGAAAACCCCAGGATGGCACAAGATAGAGCTTAATTCATTTGGGGGAATGAGAGAAGGGGGGGTCCAGTTGTAAAAATAATCAGAATGTATTTGTATTCATATGAATTTATTTTAATGGTGATTAAATAAATTTGTGACATACTGGGATAAAGTAAGAAAAAGTAACATTTTGGAGCTCATAGCTGTGTGTATTTTTAACTTAAGAAGAATATTGGGATTCAGTATAGTTAATGTTGGAAATATTTCTGTAGTTTGTGACCAGTAATCAATCCTATTAATTCCTATTCTGGAATAATACAGGACTTAATGAATTAACCCATCTAATCCTTAAAAAGTCAAGTATACCTTAACTTGACACCTTTTGTGATCATGGAACTTAAATAATATGGCTTGGAAAACACCTAAGGACTACAAAAGAATGATGTACAGTGTTTTAGTATGATAAATTACTATGTTATAAAACAGATACTGCAAAGTATAAAATAATGAGTAAGTAAAAACGTAAAATAGAATTCTTTTAAAAATATTCTGTACATTTTTGCTTTCTTAAATCAGTAAAGCTTAATTGTGTGGAAGTGAAATGTTCAGTTAATTATATTCCAGGCTTTATCCCTACATTATAATGATTAAAGTAAGATATGAAGCCATCAGAAGACTAATTATTTTATGTAGAATACCCTCTTAAGCTTTCTTTTCTAATTTTACATCATTAGCTGACAGGAGCTCGTTTAGATGAAGAAACAAGTTCTGTGGGACGAGAACAAGTAAATAAGGCCTATCATGCATATCGAGAGGTTTGCATTGATAGAGATATTTTAAAGAGCAAATTGGATAAAATGGTAAGTTGGTTTGAAAAGAATGATGTCTATATATTGCAATTGTTTTCTCATTCAAGAGGTTAAAGTTAGAAATAAAAGAAATATTTGTTTCTTAAATAAAAAGTTAAAATAATAGTAATGTTTACATCTTATTTCTATGCAAAATAAATAATTAGTAAATAATGATCTTTAGGACTTCAATACATCTAACACCACTAACTTATTTTGAAAAATCAGAACATGGTAGAATTTGCGAGTGTTTTTTAAGCTGGTGAATAATATAGCCCATGTTAGAAAAAAAAGAGATTAGTGAAAAACTGAGTTCATTTTCCCACCTTGCTTTTAAAAGGCTAGAATCAGTTTTTCAACATCTATCTGAAAATTGATATATAATATCAACCTACAGATTTTATTGAATGTATTTTGGCATTTTCCCTACTTCACTAGAACAAAGACAACTCCGAATCTTTGAAAGTATTGAATGAACAACTGCAGTCTAAAGAAGTAGAACTTCTCCAGCTAAGGACAGAGGTGGAAACTCAGCAGGGTATGCCAATTACTTGTTATAAATATTCTAACGGGATTTATACATATTTCCATTTGTGTGTTATATCCATGATCAGTTTTCTTTATCAGTATGCTACAACTTTCTTATTTTTTTAATTTTTAGGCTTTTACTAATTTCTCTGTTCTGCTTACCCAGAGTATCAACTCCTTTTAACTTTGCGTTAAATATAAGTTGTAATTTTCCCAGGGGCAGGGGGGGGTATTCAGGGCTAGTTCGTGAAGTTTGTGATGAAGTAGGTAAAGAAAGGAGTAAAACCCCATCCTTGTCAAAACCCCTTGCCCAGTGAGTGGTATATCCTGGCTTTTCCTGCCCACTGATCTTTTACCCACTGTTAGGCACTGTCACGGACTAGTTACAATTACTTTTTTTTTTTTTTTAATTTCTGAAGATTATTAAAATGGGCAGATGAGTGATGAGTTGTTGGGGTGAAATGTTAGGTCTGTGGGATATGAGTATTAGCATATTCACATGAACATTCTGATGAAACAGCTGAAAAGCAGGCCTCTGAGAGATCTATTGATAGGAGATTGATTTGACATCTCTTATGTTAGCTAATTGGGACTTTTTTTAGGTAAACTGAGAAACTAAGTCAGGATAAGTCAGTATTTAGTTGTCGAGGGTCTACAGTGGAAGGGTTATAAATAAAATTGGTTTGACATAAAGTTCTAGGCTTAAGTGTCAAGCTTGATACTCTGAAAGGACTAAATGGAGTGATTAGCTGAGTGAAACTTCAGTTTACTCTATTTTTACTCTATTTCAGTTTACTCTATTTTTGTCACTGTCTTAACATTAACTTATAGAAAGATTATTAATCTGTTTATAATTTCAGCATATGCTTGAGTAGTATTGTATTATATATTTTGAAGTTTCCACACTGACAAATTTATACTTTAACTTAAACAGAAAATTAGGGATAGGGTGAACAATAAACTCTAAAACAAGATAGCTAGATTTCTTATTCTAATTAGCACAGATTTTTTAATTACTACGGGTTTTTTTTTTAACTATTTTGTATATTTTATATTATTTTTTCATTATCTGCGTTTTACTAGCATAATCTTTATAGAATTGCAAATAATGTAGAGGGCAGAAATAAAAATTGTAATGTCCATCTTTTTTCTAGTGATAAGGAATTTAAATCCACCTTCATCAAACTGGGAGGTGGAAAAGTTGAGCTGTGACCTGAAGATCCATGGCTTGGAACAAGAATTAGAACTGATGAGGAAAGAATGTAATAGTCTCAAAGTAGAGCTACAGAAAGCCAAACAAACGGTACTGCAGCATTATTAAATTGAAAAATTCAGATTCTGTGTGTATTGTATGAATGACTTTTAACTAGGTATTAAATCATTGAGTTAACAAGTTGTAACTACTTAGAATTACAGTCTCTGAAAAATTCACCTTTATTCTCCCCGTCTTTGCTAAAATCTGATACACTGTATACTTTTAGTATAATCCCACAATTATATCATTTTACTGTATAGAAAAATTAACTTTTATAAAGCTTATTATTTATTCATTTATTAAAGCTATTTTTCAAATTCCCTTTCCTTCAGTTTCCTTAAGTCATATTTTCTCTGTATGGTTTAAAGAGAACTCAGGTTTTAAGTTTCCCTCTTATTTTCCTTAATAATTTGATTAATTTAGACACCACAAGAGACAACTTGATTTTTAGAAGTCTTAAAAAAGACTTTACAGAGTCCACTAATTTTCAGAAGGCTAATACTTTGGGACAAGTTTAATTTTCAGCAAATATCTGAGAATTCAAGAATTTGATGGGGAGCAAAATCAAAAAACCCTGCTTATTAGCTGCTTAAGTGTGGTTAGCTTTAAAGTCATCCACTAAAACACAGTTGCCTGTCCTCACCAAGAGTCTATTTACTGATACTCTACATTGGATACATGTTTTCAGATATAATGACAGATAGTGCTAAGGACAAAAAAGAAGAGATGACAGGGAAGCAGGGGAGTATGAGAGCAATGCAGCAAATGCAAAGTTCAAAATAGTTATTACAAGAAATGTAAAAGCCTAGTAATCTGGAATCAGATAGCCATTATGTAAGCATATATTTCAAACTCAGGTAACCGGTTAATTATTTCTCAGCTCAACCATTTTGCCCATCTGAGCATTTCAGTACTACTGAGCTTGTCACCTGCCTCAGGTTCCTCTGGGATGTCACTAACTGAAAGAGGCACTACTTCCAACACTTTGTGACAGCCAGTGTTGTCACAAACTGTGCTCTGAATCTCAACTGTCCTTACATGGAGCTGACAGTTCCCTCGTTTCTATAATGCAGTCTTTATTCAAGATGGCCACTGGTTAAGAGTGAGCCAGGTATCAAAAGAGTAATACAGCATTCTGCCTTGGCCTTGACTGAATGAATTCCTCTGAACTGGACAAAGAATTTGTCTTGGAGCCCCCAGCTCCAAGGGAGAGTATAAAAATTACAGTCAACTCTTGTTAGAGCCAAATTTTTCTCTTTCCTATTTGACATCTCAAGTTGATTTTCCCAGCTTTGAACCTGTGACAACATACCACAATTCCTTCAAAGGCTTTCGGCATCCTTTCCCATAAGCCCAGCTGCCAGTAGTCCTGAGAAGCTTCTCTTAAAAAGATGTTGTTTGTAACTAAAGATTTGCACCTTGAAGCTTTGAATTATAACTGTTGGTATATACATTCTACTTGAAATAACTTGATAACTTTTATACATAATAGGTAATTTGACATAATAGGTAATTATATATAATGGCTATTTCCTTATGGATTAGGAAGCAGTACCATGGGATCACAAAAACTTGGCTCGTAACTGTGTAACGTTAGGAAAGTCTTTTAACTGTTCTGAACTTGTTTTTATAAAGTAGGCATTAAACACCTATTTTTTCATGAAGGTTAAATTAGATAATATATGAAGCATTTAGTATAATGCTTAGTACATAGTTCATAGTATAATGCTTAGTACATTTCAATAAGTGAATGTTTTTAAAAAAACTAAAAAAAAACACGTAATTAGGGTAATTCAGAAAAGCAGTGCTTTTCAGGGTATGTATGTATGTTATAGTTCAGTTCTTATTACTCTCTTCCACTAGATGGTGCTAGGGGACAATTTTGCTTTTAGTTTAATTCATCATAAATCACAAAACAGACCTGAAGGTAGAAAAAACTTTAGAAATCACTTCTGATGAAATTGAATCTGAGAGACTAAGAAGCCTTAGGAGTCAAAGGTGAGATGGGGGACTATTAAAGAAAAAAAGGTCCCCACCTTCATAGGAGGAGTGTATTTGGCAGGGGGAAGTGAAATATAAAGTTAAAAATGCTCACAACTAATATAAGAAAATGAACCAGGAAAGGGAAGGGTGGAAATGCTTAATTCATCAAGGGTTCCAGGTTGAAATCTTATCCTGACATTGTGGAATGTGTAAATCTGTTTCAAAGGTGTTGCTGGTCAGAGTCAGCACCAGACTCAAAAAGCAAGCCAAGGAGAGAAATTTATGTGCACATGAATAATCTTACTTATATCTACTGTAGCTATATTTACAAATATTTTTCAGACAATACTTTCCTTGAAACATATAACACCTTATGAAAAGTGATACAGCATCCTACATGGAAACCACAGTGTTTTTTGGTTTAAGTATTTAGTGAACTCATTTGATTAATGTTTGGTATTAATGAGATCAAGGTTCCAGGGTCAATTCCACTATAGGCCTTTAGACTTTCTGTATCCCCCAGTATTCTAGTCCCTGTTATACAGTACAGTTGATGCTTTGAGAAAAACAGACATCACCACTAAACACTAAACAAGTGTAGGAAACACTGGATCAGTAAAATGGAGTTGGTGTAGATATCTAAGGTACCCAACAGCCCATTCACAATGTGCTGTAGTATACTGAAGGTTCTCAGAAGTCCTCTAGTATAGAAATCTATTTAACTGGAGCAATGTTTCCCAAGATTGTGTAGCCATGGGCCCGTTTATGGGAAACTCCACATCATGTGGCACTAGTTACGAAACAGATCCATTACTGCCCTTTAGAACATGGCAAACTGATGACTGACCAGGAACCAGGTCTTTGAATATTAGAGACAATTCCTTTGTGCTTAATGCTAGTTTATATTAGGTTTTTCTGAATTGTTAGGCAGTAGCTGGAAAAATATTTTTCCAACTCAAACAGTCAGATTTAAAAAATATGTATCATTGGCTTTAAAAATGAAGGTTTCCAGCCCTGGCCAGTGTGGCTCAGTTGCTTGGGCATCGTCCCATGCACCAGTAGGTCACCGTTCATATTCCCATGACAAGGGCACATGGTTGGGTTTTAGGCTCAATCCCTGGTAGGGGGCATGCAGGAGGCAGCTGATTGATGTTGTACTCTCACATTAATGTTTCTCTCTCCCTCTCCCTCTCTCTCTCAAAAAAAAAAAAAAAAATCAATAAACTATTCTTTATAAAGGTTTCAATTCTACATATATGTTTAAGTATACACTAATTTAAATGTATATTTTAATCAGTGACACAAAAACATTAAAGTGACCTGACTTGATTCCTTTATCTCCAGTGGAGAACAGAAAATAAAAATGTCCAAGGTCATGTGCTTTGGACTTCGTCTGACTCTAGGTCCAGTTGTTTCCCTTCTCTAGCACTCCACAAGATACTACCTAACCATTAAAGTATTTTTAGTTGGTATTTTCTGAATAATCAGAGATCCAAAAATGCTTTACCTCTTGTAATAGAAAACATTTTAATATTTACTCTCCCAAGTTCATAGTACTCACAAAGTCCTTATTTTTAATGTTCCACTTTAAACCATATTTACTTTATGTAAATAAAAAAAACACTAAAATTTGGTTCTCTCAGTTTATACTGGCCACTTCTGCCAACTGAATTAGTACCTGTGATAGTGATTTTTATTTCTTATAGACAATTAAACGAGAATGCGTTGAAAACAAGTGTGTTGCAGAGTTATCTTAAATATAAGTCTACTTCTTAATATCTTTTACAGGTTTTTTTCTGTCATATCTCTAATCTACACCACTAAAAATTAAAATATATAAGGATTTTATATACTTATCTATGTGGAACAAGGAAGTTTATGCTGATCTTTTTTTAAAGTAACCTGTTAAATTTTGGTACTTTTTAGAAATAATACCAAAAGGTGAAATACCAATAAAACTTCCATTTTTTTCATGGAATTCATTCAGATGTACCTTAAACATTAATTTGTTATTTGTTAGCCTTTTAAGAATAAAGACTTCAGATTAATGTATTCAGAAATACATTTTGTACAATTTCAAGTTCTTTCACATGAGAGCAATTATTTTTACTTTTTTCTTTCTTTACTGATTTTAGAAAGAGAGGAAGGGAGAGGGAGAGAGAGATAGAAACATCAATGAGAGAGAACATCGATTGGCTGTCTCCTGCGTGCCCCCCACTGGGGATTTGGCCCACAACCTGGGCATGTGCCCTGACCACAAATTGAACCAGCGACCTGTTGTTGCATGGGTCAACGCTCAACCACTGAGCCATACCGGCTGGGCAATATAGCATTAATGACTTTAAATAACTGGAATTAATTTTGAAATATCTTATATAGGTCTGGAGAGATGTCATTAAAATTGCATATAAAATCTTGATTTATGCTGTACAGTTTTAGATGTATTCTATCCATCTGAAATATGTCTCTGGTAATACAAAATATTGATGATAAATAGAATCTAACAACGTTTAAACTTTTTTAAAAACAAATGACAGGAACCATCTCAGGAAGACAATCTTCAGAGCAGAGATCTCCATAGACAAAGCATTTCAAGGTATGAACATTCTTTAGCATTTGAAAATAATACATTCTTCTTCCGTAGTCCACTTTGTATATGTACTTAGATTTATTATGATTTAACCTTAAAAACAAATGGATATTATTTGGGTACTGCATGTAATGTCTGATCACAGTAAATAAGACACATTTAACTGTTGCTTAAATAGGCCTGAACTTTAGTAGTAGAAAGGTGCATAATGCAATGCCTTAAACAAAATTTTTGAACATCCAATAATATTTTAGGTCAGAAGATTAAACTGTGTAGAAATATTCTGTAATAAATCCTGGTTTTGTACATGAAGAATTATACCATTTCCATACACAGTAATATCACTTTGTCTTAAGGATAAATTTGGATAGTCTTACTCTTTGGTATAAGAGAAATTTTAGGAGAGTTATTTATCCCCCTGGGGTAAGAACAAAAGTAGCTATCAGAGTTAATACTACTTCAAATCTTTTTTCTCAAATATATATCATTTTTACTTAAGTAACTTAGGTACCTGATGATTTTTGTTTCAGCTTTGTTAGCATTCCCCTCTGCATGGATACTTCCATCCACTGGAAAATATGATTTGACTTCACTGTTTGATTATTTGGCTTCCAAAGTTTACTGACCTAAAGTAAAGTAAATAATGTGAATTCATACCTTTTCCTATCAAAACCTGGGAGAAATGATCAGTTAGGGAAAACAATGTAAGGAAACACCATGCAGCCATTCTTCTGGGTCCAGGGGCAAGCTGACCTTTTCAGTGAAGTTGGCAAACAATAAATGTTTTAGGCTTGGTGGGCCATACTGTCTCTAACAGTACTTTGATTATGCTTTCAACTTCTAAATTTACAGCAAAGAGGTTTTTCTCTTTTTATTTTTAACAATGTGCCAAATAGTGTCCATTTAAATTTATTTCTCAAAGTTGTCTTCTTTCTCAAAGTTATTTGGCTTATTGGTACTCAAGTACCCTATGGGGTTTTTGTAGATGGGTTTGCATTTCTTATGTAAGCAATATGGATTGCAAAACTGATTGGGTTTCCCCCTTCTGGTTAGCAGCTAGAAAACTAAAATCAAAATCTGTGGCTTATCCTTCGTAAATTTTATATCTTGTACTTTTATGTTAGACTAATTCCTAACTGCATATTATCTTCCTTTTCCTAACCTTATTATTTTTGCTTATTTCTAGTTTATAGTCCTGTGTTTTATTAATCATTTTAAGTTACCTCATGTACTTATTTTTTTTGCAATTTTTATTTGTTTTTGTTACAGATGTTTCTTTCTCCTCCCTAGAAACCCTCCTCCCCATTCTCCCTCCACCCCCAGCGTAGTTGTCTATGTCCATTGGTTACACATACATACATATCAGTTCTTCGGTTTATCTCTTCCCTTCCCCCCTCTGAGGTTTGTCAGTCTGAACTGTACTCCTTTCTATGTCTCTGGGTCTGTTTTGATTATATTCCACAAATAAGTGAGATCATGTGGTATGTCTTTCTCTGATTGGCTTATTTCACTTAGCATAATACTCTCCAGGTCCCTCCATGTCGTCTCAAAGGATGAGAGATCTCTCTTTCTTACAGCTGCATAGTACTCCGTTGTGTATATGTACCACAGCTTTGTTATCCACTCATCTACTGATGGACACTTGGGCTGTTTCTAGATCTTAGCCATTGTAAATAGTGCTGCTGTGAACATAGGGGCACATATATTCTTTCTGATTGGTGTTTCAGGCTTCTTAGGATATATTCCTAGAAGTGGGATCACTGGGTCAAATGGCAGTTCAATTTTTAATTTTTTGAGGAAACACCATAATGTTTTCCATAGTGGCTGCACCAGTCTGCATTCCCATCAGCAGTGTACTAGAGTCCCCTTTTCTCCACACCCTCACCAGCACTTGTTTGATAATTTGTTAATGGCAGCCATTCTGGCAGGTGTGAGGTGACACCTCGTAGTCATTTTAATTTGCATCTCTCTGACAATTAGTGACATTGAGCATTTTTTCATGTCTCTTGACCATTTGTATGTCCTTTTTGGAGAGGTGTCTCTTTGGGTCCTCTGCCCATTTTTTAATTGGGTTCTTTGTCTTCTTTTTGTTAAGTTGTATGAGTACTTTATGTATTTTGGAAATTAGCCCTTTATCTGATATATCGTTGGCAATTATGCTCTCCCATATAGTGGGTTCTCTTTCCATTTTGATGCTTGTTTCTTTTGCTGTACAGAAGCTTTTTAGTTTGATGTAGTTCCTTGTATTAATTTTTTCCTTTTGCCTTAGGTGTTGTTGTATCAGTGAAAATTCTGCTGCGTGTGATGTCTGAAATTTTGTTGCCTGCATTTTCTTCTAGGATTTTTATGGATTCACAAGTCACATTTAAGTCTTTTATTCATTTTGACTTTATTCTTGTGTATGGTGTAAGTTGGTGGTCTAGTTTCATTTTTTTCATGTAGCTGTCCAATTTTCCCAACACCATTTATTAAAGAGGCTGTCTTTACTTCATTTTATGCTCTTGCCACCTTTGTCAAATATTGAGCACAATGTCTTGGGTCAATTTCTGGGTTTTGTGTTCTGTTCCATTGATCTGTATGCCTGTTCTTATGCCAGTACCAGGCTGTTTTGATTACTATGGCTTTGTAGTATAACTTCATATCCACTATTGTGCTCTCTCCTACTTTGGTCTTCATTTTCAAGATTGCTGTGGCTATTCGGGGTCTTTCTTGGTTCCATATAAACTTTAGGAGTATTTGTTCTAGAGTTCTGTGATATATGTCGTTGGTATTTTAATGGGGATTGCACTGAATCTTTAGATTGCTTTGGGTAGTATGGACATTTTAATGATGTTAGTTCTTCCAATCCATGAACAAGGTATATGCTTCCACTTTTTTATATCTTCCTCTGTTTCTTTTCTCAATGACCTGTAGTTTTCTGTAAATATGTCCTTTACTTCTTTGGTTAAGTTTATTCCTAGGTATCTTAATTTTTTTGCCGCAATGATAAATGGGATTGTTTTTTAGTGTCTCTTTCTGTGAGTTCATTATTGGTGTAAAAGAATGCTGTCGATTTCTTGATGTTAATTTTATATCCTGCTATCTTGCCAAATTCATTTATTAAATCTAGTAGATTTTTGATAGAGTCTTTGTGGTTTTCTATGTATACAATACCATGTCATCTGCAAATAATGACAGTTTTACTTCCTCCTTTCCAATTTGGATCCCTTTTATTTTTTCTTCATGTCTAATTGCTGTGCTATGTTAAATAAGAGTGGTGAAAGTGGGCATCCCTGTCTTGTTCCTGTTCTTAAGGGAAATGCTTTTAGTTTTTGCCCACTGAGTATGATGTTGGCTCTAGGTTTATCATATATGGCCTTCATTATGTCAACATATGAGCCCTCTATTCCCACACTGCTAGCGTTTTTATCAGCATATCGGAGTGTTTAATTCATTTACATTTAAGGTTATTATTGATACATACTCATTTATTGCCATTTTTGTTTATTGTGGTTATATTTTTCATCCTATTTCTTCTACTAATTACAGCAGTCCTTTTAACATTTCTTGCAGTGCTTGTTTGGTGCCAATATATTCCCTTAGCCTTTTTTTGTCTGGGAAGCTCTTTATTTCACCTTCTATTTTGAATGATAGCCTTGCTGGATAGAGTAGTCTTGGATTCAGATCCTTGTTTTTCATGACCTTGATTACTTCATGCCATTCCCTCCGGCCTATAGTGTTTCTGTTGAGAAGTCAGCTGATAGCTTTATGGGGGTTCCTTTGTAGGTAACCTGTTGCTTATCTCTTGCTGCCTTCAGGATTCTCTCTCTCTTTAATTTTTGTATTTTAATTATTATGTGTCTTGGTGCGGGTCTGTTGGTTTGGGTTTTTGTTACTTGGGGCTCTCTGTGCTTCCTGTACTTGTATGCCTTTTTCCTTTACCAAGTTAGGGAAGTTTTCTGTCACTATTTCTTCAAATATATTCTCCACCCCTTGCTCATTTTCTTCTTCATCTGGAACTCGTATGATGCATATGTTATGTTTCCAGTTGTCCCACAGTTCTCTTAAGCTGTCTTCCTGTTTTTTAATTATTTCTTTTTGCTTCTCTGATTGGGTGAGTTTTTCTACCCTGTCTTCTAATTCACTGATCTAGTCCTCAGCTTCCTCTACTCTGCTGGCTATTCCTCCTTACAATGTGTTCTTTGTTTCTGCTATGTCATTCTTCATTTCTGCTTGGTGGTTTTTTCTTTCCTATTGGTTGACATTCAGTGTTTATATCTTTACTCATGCTGTTTCCTCGTATCATCACTCTGATAACTTGCTTTACTGCATTTTATTTATCTCTTCTTCAGTAGAGTTCTCTTCTTTCATTTGGGATTTGTTTCACCATTTTGGCTATCTCAGTGTGTTTTGGAGCCTGCCAAATTTTTCCTGTGGGTGTTGGTGTTCTGCTGGTGTGGCTCCCTCTATTGAGTTTGGATGAATGTGGGACGACCCATACTAAACACCACTGTCAAGTCTTACTTCCTGGGTAGATTTTCTACCTCATGTACTTTTAAGTAGAACCATTCAGGTGATAAATTAAGTTTACTGTATTAGGTGGAAAGTACATAGGAGTGTTTCCATTGAGCCATTAACAAAAAGTTTACATTTGTTAAGGTTTATTTTTTCAGTTATTTGGAAAACTCCCTTTTAGGAACACTACCTTTTTAATATTTTATCATATTGCCAGGCAAATGAGGTACTGTATTGTTTCTCTAACACAGAGTAACCTTTTAATTATTGGAGGCCTTTTGTATGGTATTCATTGCATACAACATCATTTAACAGTAGCAGCCCTGCCTATCAGAAATTTGGCCAATGCCCTGCCAACTGTTTTGATGTCAGGTTTAGATTGTTGTCCCCTGCACTGAAACCAGATATAGGTATGGGGTAAACTTATATTGTAGAACTTCCTAAAATATAAATCCATGGTTTAGAAAATATGGATTAGGTTTGTGTTTTTTAAACTGTGCTGTATTCCCCTTAGTGATTATGAATGACTATTTGTGAGTTAAACATTTTAAAAGAAATGAATAAAATGGACTACAGGCATACTTCTGAGATATTGCGGGGTCAATTCCAGACCACCACAATAAAGTGATTCACACAAATTTTTTGGTTTCCCAGTGCATATAAAATTATATTTATACCTTGCTGTAGTCTATTAAGTATGTAGCAAGCATATGCCTAAAAATAAACTGTGTACATACCTTAATTTAGAAAATATTCTATTACTAAAAAATGCTAACCATCATCTGAACCTTTAGCAAGTTGTAACTTTTTTGCTGCTCGGAGGATCTTATGTCAATTTAGAAAAAAATGCAGTATCTGCAAAGTGCAATAAAGCAAAGTACAATAAAACGAGGTATGCCTGTAGAACATACCGGAGTATACCATACATAATAAGGGGTAAGTATGGTTCCCATAACTTGCTTTCGTTTGGGTTGTAATGTAAAGTAATTGCTTTGGTGTACCTTACAGTAAAAAATCATGAAAGACACTTGTTCAGGGAAATCACAGTTTATGAAATATACAATTCTAAGTCTCTAGCCCTTGGCTAAAACTATGCCATACTTTCATTTCAGTTCCTGTGGGTATATAATACTTCAGTAAATTTTCAAAAGCTAAAGAAAAATATGTATGACTGAAATAAAAACTCAGTGAAGTAGATTTTTCTTATACAAGGAATATTCACTTCGGTATTAAAGAGCTAAGTGTATAGTATCAATTAAGAAAACTGGGCTTTTCCACAATTTCACTTTGTAGGCAGGACATGTCCCCTTCTTGAGATGTGGATAAACAGGTTTCATTACATTTAAGATTTAGAGGTGTGAAATATTATAGTAGAGCTAATAAGGTTGTGTTAACAGTATGCATTTTGTAGGTGTTTGATGAATATATGATGGTGATGTGAAAAATGTTATCTCCCAAAAGCAATCAGTTACTAGACTGTATAACTAAAAGATGGCTTTGAACAGCAGCATGTTAGAGTGAAGTAAATTCTCCTAGGCCTGTTTCCTCAAGTAAAATTAGGTTACCTGCTTTGCCTAGTTGGTATGAGAATGGGAGTGAAATGCCAAGCATATAATAATAAATGCTCAAACATTATTTTTCTTTCACCTATTGTTTTTAGGGTTCTCATTTGGGGTGTTTTAATGTAGCATCTCAGTGTTTAAGTAGTTTTATAATTTATTTATTTTTTAATTTTTTTTTTATCCTCACCCGAGGACATTTTCCCATTTTTTGTTCAGGTAGAGTGGGAGGGAGAGAGAGGAAGAGAGAGAGAGAGAGACATCGATGTGAAAGGAACACATCGAGAGGCTGCCACCCGCACGACCGACCAGGGCTGGGGACAAACTGCAACCGAGGTACGTGCCCTTAGCGGGAACTGAACCTGGGTCTCTCTAGACTGCAGGCCGACACTCTAACCCAACAGACCCATTTTTTGTTCAGATAGAGTGGGAGGGAGAGAGAGAGAGAAACATTGACGTGAAAGGGACACATGGAATGACTGCCTCCCGCATGACCCAACCAAGGCCCAGGGACAAACTGTAACTGAGGTACGTGCCCTTAGTGGGAACTGAACCCGGGTCTCTCAGGACCGCAGGTCGATGCTCTAACCGCTGAGTCAAACCGGCCAGGGCTATAATTTCTTTATAGAAACCATATATATTACTAGGATTTTGCTTGCATGGTATTTAAAGCAAAACTAAGTTCACACCCCAGTCTGGAGTGGCGGTAGGGGGCCGTGTTACAGTTTATACAATCTCAAAGATGCCTTGGTAAGAGGAGGTTAGAACTCTGCTAAAGGTTTGTGGGTGACAACTTTCCTTTTCCAATCTAACTTAAGTAATGATTTAAACATTTTAGTGAAATAGACAGAATTAAAATTTGTAACACACCTATTGTTAGTTGTTAAGTAACTGCCATTACTTTGTTATCCACAAGAGGGAGAGCTTATACTTAGTAATAATTGTAGACATTTATAGCTGTAGCTTTTAATTTAGGTGACATAAGGACAAAAGAAAAAGACTAAACAAATGTTAAACGTTGTGACCTAGTTGTTAGTGTAACCTAATTTAAAGCAGTCTTCATTAAATTGAATTGGAAAATCTGTATTAGATATTGCTTTTAACACCTCTATAATAATTCTTTTATTTTACATGCTTAACTATTTTAAATATGTTTGATATTCTGGTATCCAAACATTACCCTGGGTATTTGCTTTTCTTTTCTCTAAGTTAGATACTGATTTACTATCTCGTGCCAATAATAAAACACTATTTTTAAGCAGTATTACTCCTACTGGGACTGTCTGAGCTACTACTGGGAAGTATGAGCACAGGAACAGTGTTTATTCTCACTGCTGTGTAGTATGAGTAACTCTGGAAAGCACACTGAATGCCCAGGATTGCACTGAGGACAACAGCTCTCTTCACACTGCAGATGGGTTCCTATGTGAGACACTCAGTGTAGCACCCATCTCAGATGTTTACTGGTGAAGTAGTTAACTAATTTTTGTGAAGTAATTATTTCACACCTATCAAAAACCTGCAAAAAGCCCTGTGATTTTTAATAGACTACTGGTTAACAAGTGATGTTGACAACAGACTAAAACCTGTAGATTTCTCTCAGAGGCAGTATAAAGTTTATTCCGCAGCTTCCATTGAAAGCATTGTCTGAGTAGGAGACATTCTGAGAAAAATATATGTAACCTTACACAATTCAAAATAATTGCTGTTTAATATATCTGTTGCTTCTTTAATTAATATAGGATATTAGTTTTAAGTATCAAGAGTATTATTCCCTGAAGTTTATTTAAAAAGGTTATGTATAGTTAGACAAAAATTAAAGCATGAAGTGACATGTCTGTCAAATTTGATTTCATTATAACTAAAATTATACTAACCTTTACGCAGCAACAGTGGTCGTTTGAACACTATGGTACCTATTGTTCTTACATCTAATATTTTATGTATTCTAGTACAGCAGAGTAAGAATATATGTTGAAGATTTTGATTTATTTAGTTAATTAAGAACCTAAAAAGGAAGATCATAAATATCCAAATAAGAATGTTTAATGGAAGATGAAACATAAAAAATAAGGTTTAAAATAACTAACATGATTTCTCAGATAACTGAGGTAAAATACTTTTAATCATAAAAACAAGAGGCATTTGTGAAGTTTTTATGTGTTTCATATGATCCTCTCTCTCCAGCTTCTCTTCCTATACCAGGAAATCATCTGCCTCTTCATGTCTTGTGCTGTCATGTCACATTGGTTTAGTACCAACAGTATGAGACAGCCCAGTCAAACAGAAGAGAATGGAATACATGAAACCTAAATTTCATTTTAATGGGGCTTGGGCATACATTCAATTTCAGTTCACAGTGTCAAAACAGAGTAATCATACGATAAATACACATTTAAAACCCATACATGAATATCACTTTAGTCTTGATCCGACACTAAGGAACACATTCCTTACTATTAAATGTATTGACACCACTGCACTGTAGTCTATAATAAATCTCAATCTGAGACGAGAAGTATAAGAAACTCTCATTGGTTAGAATACTTCTTTTTATAATATACTGTTTAATATCTCTCGGTTAATTGCTAGAAATTAGGTCAGTGTTATTATGTGAATAAGGTCTTTTCACTTGTTATAATGTCCTAAATAAGTATCTTTTAATTATTTTAATGAAGTTTTAATTTACATCATCTCAAAACTAATTCAAGCAGAAATGCAGATATGATCATTTCTATTATAAAGTTATTCTCTTTTGTTCATAAAGAGAGTAGTGACCATTAACTTTTCTTTTTAACCCCGTATTTCAGTGATAATATGCAAAATGCATACTGGGAGCTGAAGAGAGAAATGTCTAATTTACATCTGGTGACTGAAGTACAAGCTGAACTACTAAGAAAACTGAAAACCCCAACTGCAATCAAGAAAGGCAAGTCAATGTTTGCAGGAAACCACTGATTCCAGCTAAACACTTTAAGAGCAACTATCATATCTTATCAAAATCTCATCAAATGAGTTTGATAAGCCAAAGTATTTATTGTATGTTCACAGCCTATCCCTTCTCTGCTTTGACTTCAGTCTCATACTGGTCAACTTCACACATAAAAGGTGTTGCTGATGTGTTTTTTCTTCAGTACTGTATTCTTTTCCCCTTGTGGCTTTTTTTCTCAGCCAAGTGTTGCTTATGTGTATAAGGCTGAGGTGTTAAGTTTGCTCTAGTTGACCTTTTACCACAACTACTTCATATATTTTTTAAAAAGACACCCAAAGCTATTTTTCATTACAGAGTACACCCAAGACCTAGCTCCGTAAATTGTTTGTTTTGAAAAAAGTAATTCTGATTCATTATTTGGTTGTTTTCATTTTTTTGTAAAGTTATTTTTTCTTTCCATAAAAAGAATAGGGTATTTAGAAGAGAGGCTATGTGCTTATCCCTTTCAGCCTTCCAGAAATTTTCATTGCTTTGCTGTTCATATTTAACTCCTTGGCTGACAAAACTTTCTGAGTTTTGTGTTAACTAGTAGTGGTTACTTTGCCAAAGCTATTTTTATACCTCAGAGAAAAATCAGTGCATTTACACCTTTTATTACAAAATAGATGTGTTTCTGAAAAGAGTGTGATATAAATTTGAATGCTCTAAAATATACTTTTTAAAGTAATATGACTTTTTATAAAAAATAATCATTATCCAGTTTAAAATGGTTATTTGTACCTCGTATTATCCCTAAAGAGTGCATAAAAGAATTGTATTTTATAAATAGTTCTCCTCAGGAGTGTACACTAGTGGGGGGAAATGTTGCACATGAAGGAAAAAAACTAAATTCAGAATTTGTTTCATTTTCTACAGTTACTTATAAATCAGACAAAATAATATGGTGCTTTGGCAGGCCCTCACTTTACGGTTCATTTTGTCCTTGAGTTGCAGTGGCCAAGGTTATATATAAGACAATCTATAAGTTGACAGAAGAAATAAGAATTCTCTTTAAAGGGACTCATTCAGGAATTTTGCAGTGCCTTTCAGTGTGGCTCTTTGTTTATATAACAAATATAATTTCTAATAATAAAGGAGAAATGCTCTTTCAATATCTAGAACTGGTTCATTCTTGTGTCCCTTCTGAGCTGGTGAGTATACATTTTTAGTGCTTTGAACCATACATTTTCGAGCACGTTTCCTATGACAGTGGCGGGCTCGAGGCCACCACTCCTCACCACAAAACTCGATGCTCTGAGGAGGACACAGAGGTGAGACTAGATTACCTTTTTTCCTGACCTACAATATCACCCTGTCCAAAAGCTGAACAATGATACTTCCAGTTCCCTCAGACACCTTCCTCTCCTCCCAAGAAAAAGACAATGAGCTTATTTTATAATGTGGTTCAGTTGCTTTCTTCTAAAACTACAGCAAGTCAAGCCTCAGTTGCAGTTGGCATCCTTTTTGGACTTGAGAAAAATTTATCTTTTCTGCCCCGCCTAAATTGGAAGAGCAGCAAAAGCTCATGCTACTAAAGTGTTGGCTGTGGCTAAAAAATTAGTTTTAGAGCAGTCTGTTTTCTAAGCCATTACATGTGTATTAAAGACCTTTTTTTGTTATTTTTTTACTTGACCTATATTGTGTCCATAGCAGAATTTACATTTACCACTATATGTGTTTCATAAGAAATAGGATTATTTTATACCTTTTATTTAAACTGTTTTATTTATGAAAGTCCGAATACATATTATTTGGGTCTCACTAATTCACAATATAATCCTTTCTCAAGAAATTGGACCACCTATGGAAAAAGATTTAAATAAGTAAAGGAATATGATATTTAACAACAACAAAAAATCACTAAAACTTAAGAACAGCTTTCTGTCTTCACTGAAGTGGAAATAGTCTTCAAGCCTTCTCTAGCCACATAAGAGCCCAGAACTGGATCTTTACTTGTATTTTAACAATTGGTTTCCAACTTTTAAAAAATTTAAATTCTTTGTCTTTGATAGCTCAATGATACAGGCGGGAAAGGATTACTATGCTGTATCCATTTTCCAAATGAGAAAAGTGATACCTGGAGTAGTGTAGTGATTTAACTACAATGTCAGTATAGCTTATTCAGGATTAGAACTCAGATCATTTGTCATCTGTCTTCAAGTTATAGTGCCCCAATGATTATACTAACTTGGGAATGTTAATTTTCTTCCAGTTATAAATTCAACCAAATTAATGAAATATATTTTATGATCACAAATGCTATAACAACTGACATTTGGCCTGTGCTTTCTTTTTTAGCCTGTGCCCCTATAGGATGCATGGAAGACCTTGGGAAAGACAGCACAAAACTGCACCTGACGAATTTTACTGCAACATACAAAAAGCACACCCCTCTTTCACCAAATGGCAAAACTCTTTGTCACACCACATCTTCCCCTCTACCAGGAGACGTAAAGGTTTTATCAGAAAAAGCAGTTCTCCAATCATGGACAGATAACGAGAGACCCATTCCTCATCATGAATGTACAAACTTTCAGGACCACAACTCTTATGGCAGAAATTCTCTGGAAGATAATTCTTGGGTATTCCCAAGCCCTCCTAAATCAAGTGAAACAGCATGTGGGGAAACTAAAAATAAAACTTTGCCTTTACCCAACCTGCCACCACTGCATTACTTGGATCAACATAATCAAAACTGCCATTATAAGAATTAACTCTGAAGAGATTCATGATTTGGTCATGAGGTTGCTGTACCTCCCACAATGGCTCTCTTGAGAAATTATTTAATAAACTGAAAGCAAGTTTTAATGAAACTTTTACGGAGTTCTTCAATGTACACATTTGTACATACTGTACCATATTATGTAGTTGATTCTCCAGTATGAAAGAGCAACCCTCCAGCTTTATATTCTGGCTAATAATCAGATATATGCTACTGATAATGAATAAACTTGAGGTGTTTTAAAAAGAGAATTCTATCTGATAATGAGTGTAAATTTCTGCCTCTCACATAAAGAACGAAACAGTTTTTAGCTGTGGTTTTAAAAGCATGTGAAGTGCTTAAATAGCTGTTCATTAAAAATAGAGGAGGCCATTAATGTAAAAGAAAAATTATATAAGTTGTTTGAAGCTGCATAAAAGAGCAAATGGCAAATAGAGTTATATTTCTGTTGACCTAGTGCGTAAGATATTAAAAATATAAATAGTGGAATAATCGTATGTAGATTTTAACATCTCTATACGCTATTATGTTTCAAACTTTAAAATCATTTTTAATCACAATGTTGATAAAAGTTAGAATTGCAATTTGAATTTTAAGACGAAGTAACCTGATCATTGAAGCCAACTCTGTCCCCGTGCATCTCTCAAGTCATAAATGAAAAGTGACAAAATAGTTGAAAATCTATGTGGTGTGTGAATAAACTATTATAATCCATTTAGAAGTAGAGCATCACAAAGGTTTCAATCTAATCTGTCCCTTCAGGGTCCATAATGAATCTAAATGTGTAACTATGTAATGTCATTTTCTTCAAAGGGTCTACAACCACTCATTATGTAGAACAGCTTATAAATTGTTCGACTTTGGTTTGAAATATAATGTTTTACTCATTGAGTGATTTTAATTAATTAAATTAGGAGTTTTAATTCTAGAAACCAAATTCTGTGCCGTACTGATATAGTACGATCATAACATGTCCCCAAACTTTTTGATTCTAAGTGGCCTATCATTTGTCAACAAGTAAGGAAATAACAAGGATGGCTTCACATGGAAACTTAAATTCTTTCAGGACTGCAGTATTAAGAATATTAGTAATAAAACGTATTACTTGATTCATACATCCCTTGCCTGAAAGTGTTTCATGTAGGAAACCTTTAGCCTAACAGACAGTTTTCAAATATCCATCTTAAATTCAAAGGAGTATCTCAGATCTCTTCTATATTAACTGAGTAGCATACATACATACATTAACAGTGTTCACCATTCTCCAGATATTTCTGTCTTTCTATTATCTTACTCTTATTCAAGCTTGTCTGTGATTAATGGAATTGATGTCAGATGCTGGAATTTATTCTGACCAATGAACACAGCTGACTCAAGGGAGCAGAATCTCCTGCCAAGTAACAGAACCAAACACAATATGCATAAAACAAATATAAGACTCCAGGCTTTAGCTGAAGGAAGCAACTACCTGTGTAATATCAAAACAGCAGAAAGTATTTCTCATGTGGCTGCATAGGCTGTGTATTATATCTAATCTCTAATGTAGCTGATGGGTTTGCCTAGATGGGAAATTTTACTATGTAAAGAAAATAAGTCATATGAGATAATGGTTTGAATAATGTTTTGAACAATGAAAAGAAATCGTTTAATTAAAATTATTTTTGTTTGAAATTGAAGTGGAGGTGAAATTTTATCTTTGACTTATATTCCAAGGTTAGGTGCTAATTGTTAGTTCTTAATTCATATAACAGATATTTGTTGTTTAACTTCTTTTGAGTGGACAAAATGCTTTTCCAGCTAAAAAAAAACAAGGGGGTAGCTATCAGATATGCTAGAAAGTTAGAGGTTAAAAGTGCTAAATAAATGATGTGTAAGATTATTTTTAAAAGATTAACCAAAATTATTTGTACCCAGCTATATATATTTAAATGTATACTTTATGATTATCTCTATTCTAGGTAAGATTCAAAGAGAAATGAGAGAATGGCCCATCTATAGCTCATAAATTTGCTCCAAAGGGCTTCCCTTGAAAATTTCTTAACCTTCAGATTTTTAGAACAACATCCCAGTTCTGCATATCCGTAACAACAAAGAGAACACAGCTAATAACATAAAAGCCACTTATTCCTTCCTCTTGATCCCATTATCTAAAACAAAATTTATGTCTTCACTGAAAGGAAACTGAAGTCTGTCAAAATTGGAACCTAATTCATAAGAATAGCAGGGATACCTATGTGAAATATTAGAAAACCAATATAGGGGGAAAATTCAGACTTAACTCAAGGACTGATTCGTGTGAAAACAAAGTAATGATTTTATCCAGAAAGGCTTCTTGGAGAAGGTAGATCTTACAGGGTAGAAAATCTGCAGACTGTCATTTAAAATAATATCTACAAGCAAGACAACTGAGGCAGATGTAGCAGCTGGAGAAGTAGACTTGAGTGGGCATATAAAGGTTTAGTCTAAAAGCTATGAGGAACAGTTTAGTTTCTCACATAAGGAAGGATGAACTTATTTATACTATATATCTAGCACCTATGGGGAAAGTGACATCTGTATAAATGAATTTTCCACATAAAATTGAAGTTGGCCCCTCTGATTCTAATCAAAATTATAAAATAGCCACAGATTATATATTTCACTAGCTTCTTAAAGTAAATATTTTGCCTTTATTTGAATAATTAAAAGGTCCTGAACTCTAGAAAATGTTCCAGTACCAGAAGGCTTACAGGAATCCTGAAAGCTTCTTCCCCGCTATGCTATGTGACCTCTAAGTTTCTATATTTGCTTTTCTTTTGTCTGTTCTAGTAACCTCCCTCCTTTTGATCTGTGGCCTGGGAAAATGTGGTTGGTTTCTTTGGGTCTTAAATAAGAATATAATAGTTCTTGGAGTGGCTTACTCAAGAGAAAAGTGTGGAACTTGAACAATTGGTTCTTCAGGATCCTCTTTGCTATTTGCTTTAAGTCCTTTAAGAAAGTCAGATCTATTTCAGTGGCATTGGGGACAAAGTTTAAGCTAGTCTTTGTAGGTAGTCATTTCTATATGGGATTTTATTTTATTTTTAAATATGTTTTTATTAATTTTTTTGGATAGAGAGGAAGGGAGAGAGAGAAACATCGATGTGAGAGAGAAACATCAATTGGCTGCCTCCTGCACGCCCTCTACTGGGGATCAAGCCCACAACCGGGCATGTGCCCTGACCAGGAATTGAACCAGGACCTCTCAGTCTGTGGGACAATGCTCAATCCACTAAGCCACACCGGCCAGGCTCTATATGGGATTTTCATGAGAACTGTAAACATATATAAAATGTACTTACCTGGAAACAGGTCGCAATGGCTGTGGTAAAGAGTTAATAGTGAGGGGAAAAGAGCAACTTTTAATATAAGCTCAACTTGGAACTATATAACCCTATTAGAACAGAAAATTTTTACATTGGTTCCTAAAACCATTACTATGTTACAAAATGTTCATTTATGTTTATAAAGAAGACTTAAAAAAAAAAATTAAAGTATTTCCAGTAGCTAAATTAACAGGTCAAGGAATGTAGTGATACAGTTAGAAAATTTTTCACTGAAGATGTTTAAAATTCATACATTTTAAAGTACTGATCTACCATATATATTTCCAAGTAAGCCTTTAGTACTAATAACAACAATAACTAACCATTAAAGAGCATTTACCATGTCAAAGGCACTGTCCTACATACTGTACTTTTACTACTCAATCCTCACAATAACTGTATCCTCACAAAGACTTATTTCCAGTTGTGTGGCTAATAAATGGAGAACCAGGAAGAATTCTGGTTCATAACCACTCTGCTGTACTGCCTAGATATTAACACCTTTGAAGGCTGTCCATTCCTGCTTTCCTTTAGTTACGTCTGGTCCCCACGATTAGCCAGTAGTCTACACTGATAGAGAGTAAAGCAAGATCTACATGGAACCCTAAAAATCAGTATCACTGTTATAGAACTAGAGTTGTGGTAAAATTTTTGAAAAATCCATAATGACCGGGAAAACCATATCCCATTTCACTATTTACTCTGACTCCATTTAATAAACCTTAAAATTTTTTAGAAAATCTTTATTTCAGATAAAATTAATATTTCCATAATTTAGGCTAAAGCAAACACACTTCTTTGAATCCATTATTTTAGGTAATTGTGATTTCCATGAATAGTGTTACTGAGTACCATTTGAATATTTGCCTACATGCTTGTTGGAAGCTTCTGTAGCCTTTTCTTGGTAGGAATTCCAGTTTTTCTGTATTCTTCCCTTTCCTTCAGGTATTCCATTTTGCATTCTTCATAAAAGGCAGGATCAGTATAACTACAACAAAGAAATAAAAATCTTTTAAAGTGAATCACTTTGTAATTTTTATTTCATACAAGCTTACTTTAATAACATTCAGACATCCAGTTCATCAGGCAAAATCTTTAGAAGTAGATTTTACCAAGTAAAACTAAAACAATACAGAATGTCAACTGCAACTGAAATTTTTTTAAAAAAGTTTTTAAAGTAGATTTTTAGTAATGGTCATAAATTCGCTGTAACATTAGACTACCAAACTAATTAAACCCAGGAAAAAATAAGCAGACCTAATGGTTCTTTTTGAATAGCACTATCGCAGGATACAGCAATGAGAAGCACGTGCCTGTCAAGGAGCCCATGGTGTCACAGAGCATACCAGGAAAGAATGAATTATAATTAAGTACACAAAGGGCTGTGAGAGCGGTAGCCCCTGCACCACAGACACATGGACGGAGGGGGAGATGTGACGAGGAAATGCTTGAGCTCCACTTTGAAGGTCCGCCAGAAATCCCTATGGAAGGCACTTGTGCGAAGGCACCGAGATGAAGAAAAACTGTGATGCACAAAGAACTGTACGTAGATGGGAACCACTATGGCAGATCGTGCACAGAGGAAGGGCCTGAGATGTAGCTAGAAAGGGCAAGCACCAAACCCTGTGGGTCCATTTACGCCACAATAAGAAGTTAAAATCTACCCTGAAGATGATGGGGCGCTATGAGGAGACAACTGTAAGATCAGCTTCGTGTCTTAGATGAATCTGACAGCTTGAGCAGTGGGCTAAAAGGGGCAGCCAAGCTGGAGGCAGGGTATCCAATAAGTAAAGCATCATAATAACCCAGACAAGAAATGAGAGCCTAGGCCAAAGGAGAGCAGCTGTGATGAAAAGGATGACATGGATCTGGGGTAGATTTAGGAAATGAAATCAAAAGGAAATAGCCAATTCGATTTAGGAGACGAGAAAGATACTAGACAACTGTATAATTCACAGAAAGTCAAAGGGCCGAGTTCAGTTTGGGACCTGAAAAGAGAAGCAGAGAAATGCCATGACCTACAAGAAGTAACTGAACCCATGGGTGCAAACTGAGCTTCCTCAGACTTAGGAATGAGGGAAGAAGGAACCAAATTTAAGGAACAGGTTAAGTGGGAAAAGGTGAAGAAGCAGACAGGGCAATTAG